TGTTTGTGAATACTGCGACCATACATCATCGTCATCCTTTTGACCAGTGGAAATGACCGTTGGTTTCGAGTGATATATTTTTAGAACAAGCATCGTCTTGTGCTACAATTCTAGAAATGAGTTGCTTCATTAACTCATTTCTCAGTTCATTGGACTAACTGAACACTCCACATTGAGTTAATTCTCTACCCGAAATTAACATCTTTATTTCACCAATTTTGCTCTTTTCAAGTGCAATGTTTCTTGTCATTTCTTGAAATGATGAAAACGGCACAACATTAATCGTAATTAATCGTAACGTCAGTATCGCTCTGGTTTTTTTTTCACATGGAACAACTCTATTCGAGTCATTTCCAATATATTATTGGATTCTGAGAATCGTAATTTGTTTCTTCTCAATTTATCAAATGTGATAGTTCGTGAGCAAAAAACTTGATAGTTTCTGACAGTTTACCGCATGATCGATTCACTGTCAGTGATGATCACAGTACATAATGTAGTTCACATTTTTGTTTTCTGTTTACTTTCAGGACACCGGATTAAGCACACCAACAGCTGCAACAGTGTTGGGTCATCGCAGTATCAATAGACCGGAATCAGTGCTTCAATTGGCCAGAAAATTCGCTGAAGCCAGCGCTGTGCAGGTTGACTCATTCATTCATGCATTCACAAACAATAGTCAGCAATGAAATGAATGAACAAAACGAAATAACATTTCCACTCTTCTGATCGGAAATGAACAGTGAACTGAAGCGTATCGAGTGTTCTCGTTGTGCACTTTTTGAAATATTTCATGAAAAGAACGAAGAATGAATTCGAAGCTATGCAAGATTGCATCAATTATGTCGGCTTTTTTTCGGTCACTTGAAGAGGCCATTTTCACTTTCACGTTTCATCACTGTCGTCATAATTATGATTTCCTTTTCGCGCGGTACACTCTCAACCGAAGAAATTATATGAATAGACGTGAAATGTTCATGAAATAACCTATATTCATCTTCAAATGACTTGGAAAAATGAGAGCTAATTTTCGTGCATAACGAACTAATTGACATCTCGGAGCAGAATAATGAGTGACTTCTAAAAAAAAGTGAAATTCGTTCGATCCGGTTGCTGACAGAATTACCTTCGTTTCATAGTACACCACCTACTTTGATTAGGTATCATTTAACGAAAGAAGTTTGTCTAAAAGCTTTTGTTTTTCCAAATGATCATCCAAATCAAATCAGCAAACAATTACTCGCCAGATGTGCTAATTCGATTAGATGCGATTCGATTCGATTCGATTTGTTGGTGACCAACAAAAATTTTCTCAAAATGAAATGTTTACCTCAATTAATTCCATTCCCACTCATTACCTTCAAACATTCGCTCTTCACCAAATTCTGTTCTTAAGAAAAACTCCAAACAAAATTCGCCATTGAAATTTGTCACCAATGAAGTGTATTGCATTCAATTGCATTCGTTGANTTTTCATCAAAACAACGTTTCAAGCGTGAAATCGACAGTAATGTTAAAAATAATAATGAAAATGTTTCACATTCAGAATAACAAACTTTTTGCATCCACTCAAAAGGCTGCTGCTCTGTTCAGCGAGGGAACTTTATTGAAATCATTCAGTGGTCCGACAACACCCGTTCGAAGATGTTAGTTTTGTGCTTTTTTGGTGTCTTATTCGATTATTGTGATCATGCACAGTCGTCAGTCGTATTATTACTGTCCGTCCGTATTGTGCATGTGAGAGGCGCGATTACACACCTCAACTTTGTTTTTGCTCTCATCAAAACTTAGTTGTTGTTGTTTTAAAAGTTTTCCAAAAGTGGCTACATTTCTCTGATACACCTTCGCTTTTCTTCGCATTGATTCACTCGAAAAGATATTGTTCACATTTATTCTCCAGTTGCGCAATATGATCGCTTCATTGCAATTTCATATCAAAGCCAGTAAATCGAAGCATTGCTTGCTCAATGCTAATGCAATGTTAATGGCTGCAATTTTGAGTTGGGTCAGGCAGTCTAAAACCTGACCTTTGCAGTTTTGCAGTGTAACCTTACTGTTACAACATCGCATCGTAACTTCTCAAATTTCCGTTCTGTCGGCCACCACTGCAAGTTTAAACACTTGCAGATGAATTTTATAGAGTGAATCGAATAATATTTATTTCGAATTGGAACACTTGTTTGCAGTAGTAGCATCAGCATTTATGATCAGTTAAAGTTTAAAATTAGAAGTGAACAAATCAAATATCAATTGTGTAAAGTATTTATGATGAGTGTATGCTGCAGGTTTGTTGATACTTTCACAATGATACAATGATGAATTGTGAATTATTAAACTGTGATTCTAAGCTCGCTCATCATTATTGCGGCTATAAAGTTGATGCGTAAAATTTTCTGTAGAGAATTTCTTATTTGCAGTAGTCGGTGGCGGTACGCTTCAAAACAACGATACAACAACGTTCAAGAAGCCTGGTGGCATCGCTTGTCTAAGTGAGTTAGCATCAATTAAGTTACACATTATGTTTACGTTTTATATTATATTCACTGAGTTATCATCGTGGCGATGTTGTTTAATTTGTTGCGTTTTACGATGTTATTTGCTGCTATTCAACACCAGTTATTAACGTCAGCTTTGATTTATCAACTTTAATCACACGTCGAAACTTTTATGTTCAGGTGTTATCACTGTGAACATTGATCGGTCGGTAATCACGTCTCATTGAGGCTGAACTTATTTTGACCTATTAAATGAGAAGTCGTAAAGAACATGAATCAAACTGTACGCTTTTTCTTAGAGCCAGGAACCGGGCTGTCTGATAGTGAGGACAAATTCTGCATAGTTCAAGTACCATTTTCCCCGGTAAGGCAGGCAGACACTCCTGGCTAATGTCTTCGCCGAATCGAGGGTTTCCCGTTACCTATGTTTACCATGGACTTGCTTGCAATCATATGATTTTTATGAATAAAGAATAACAAAATCTGGGCGCGTGACATATACGTATTATGAAAATAAGAATTTGTTGTTGAGTAAAAAGAGTCGAAAAAAAGATGTCATCACAAGGACATTGTAATCGTGACTGAATGAATGGTCAACATCTTCTACATAATATGCGAGTGATGATCAGAATCGATTTGATTCATGATTACTCAATGCCCTTTCGCAATCGTATATCATATGTTCTCATATTAATCTTCAGCATAAATTCCCTTTTTTGCCCTCATCACCGTCTTTTAACCATTCATATATGAATATTACTCCTTCAATCGTCAGTCAGTTCTTCGTTCAACCAACACGGCTCGCTTTAACCAATCTTCGATTTTTTTTCATTCCCTATCGCTGAGTCTTTGCAAGAAATTTTCCTTTATTCTTCCGTAAGAAGAATTTTTTTTCGTCATA